CCCCACAAGACACACACACACACACACACACACTTTCCAACCCCTCCAAGGCAAGAGAAGGACAAGAGCTGGAAAGGGAGGCCAAGGGACGTGTGGACGCAATGGGGCATCTGGAGCGGATTTGTGGCTCTTGGGTGGACTTTTATTTTTTGAGGGGGAGGGGGTGGGGGTTAAACATCTCGAAGGACCCTGGAAGGAATGGGTCCAGGGTGACTAGATGTCCTCAGCACAAAGACCTTGTGAAATGTAGGACAGTCACAAAATGCAGGACACGACCAAAGGCAAGCTCTAGTCTAAACCCTCCTAGAAATCTCCCATTCCTGCTTCTTAGTTAGGCTCGAAATGGGGGCCATTGCGGAATTCCTCTAGGAGAGGAGGAGGAAATGGATGTAGGACGGGTCCGGGAAAAGGAGGACCCCGGGGTCACCTTGCATTTAATGCGAGGAAACCCAGATTTGATTTGATTCGATTGTGCGCACAGATGCAACAACCATTTAGGCATCTCTGCTTTCTCTATCTATTCTAGGCGTTGCAAGCTGGGCTTTTTGTCCCTCCCTAAAGCCAGATCCTCTTCAGGTTGACTCGAGAGGAAGCCCTATGGAATGCAATGGGGCTTACACCAGGGGAGGTTTTAAAAAGAAATGGGCCTGAGGTCGGGAAAGGAGAGAGACCCATGTATCCAACAGTCATGGAGGACTATAGGGCCTCTTTTCTCCATCTCCAGCATCCCTTGGATTTCAATGGGAAGGGGTTTTCTCCCATTGAGAGCGATGGGACTTCAGGGATGCCTGGTGCTCATCCCGATTCCCCGATCCTCCAAAAGGGGCCCGATCCAGCTTAAACCAGGACCCAAAAACTGAGAAGGTCTGCTCAGAAGCAGGACTCATTGAACTCAATGCGTCCCAGAAAGAAAGACTAATGCAATTGTGTGTAGAGCATAAAGGCGCCCAGATTTACAAACAGATCTCCGAGCAAGAGCTGAATCTGGAATTCAGCAAGAGACACAAGATCCATCAGATCCTCCAGCCCCGATCCCGATCCACCCCGAATTCATTTTTATTTCTTTCCTTTTTGTTTTGGTTTTCCACCGACAAGGAAAGAATTGCACTCTGAGACTGCGGCAGACAATCTCGATTTCATTTTTTAAGAACAAGAAAATGCATTTGTTACATCCATTCATCCATCCCTGCATCCTTGCAACGGCTGGCCAGTGGGTTTTGCAGGATAAAAGAAATATTCTCAGCATTTTGAAGAGGAGAGGACTGACAACGACACAGACACACACAAATAGGCTTAGTACACACAAATGGAGAAAGAGTTCCTTTAACCTTCAGCGATTTTACATACAGAGAGATAGAGATTATATATATATATATATATATATATAGAGAGAGAGAGAGAGAGAGAGAGAGAGAGAGAGACTTATGTTATACGCATGTATATATATGATGAGAGAGACGAGAGAGATTTATACCCGCATAAATACAATTATGCATTTTATAGATAGATAGATAGATAGATGATTAACAAAACAGAATCACTGTACAAAATATGTATTATTAGTGTTAAAAATTGCATTCTTCTGGAACAAATTTGTTGGAAGTCCTGTTTGTTTGTTTGTAGGGGAACACAATGTATGTGTGTGAGAGAAAGTGAGACAGAGTATAATATAATGGTATATTATTTCTCCAGTTAAATTTAATATATTTCTTAATAGAACCCATTCATCCATTGCTTAGGGCTTGGATTTCTCTGCATTTCCCTGTGTTGTGTGCCTACTCCACGAACTTCATAAGGTTTTCTTAGGCAAGGAATACTCAGAGGTGGTTTTGCCAGTTCCTTCCTCGGAAATATAACTTACAGCACCTGATATTCGTTGACGATCTCCCATCCAAGCACTAACCGGGGCTGACCCTGCTTAGCTCCCAAGATCAGACAGGATCTGACCCTTTTAGGATATTGAGGCCTTTGCTGTGTATTAGTAGCCATACTTTCCAAATAATCGAAAGACATACATACAATCGAAAGACATACATACATTTTCTTCTTTTTAAAAAAAGGAAAGGGAGCCTGATTTTCCAGTGTGAGGCTGCGATGGGGTTCCTCCTTCTTTCTAAGGCAGAAATGCGCTCACTTCCCAGAATGTAAAGTCCCATTAAATCCTGAGTAGGGTCTGGCTCCTGAGTAGACTCAATAGACTGCATTGTAAAAATCTGGTCGGAGGGATATTTCACCCCGGAGATGTGAGCAATTTTATTTTATTTATGTATTTATTTATTTAGGGGATTTGTATCCCAAGTGGAATTCAAGGCAGCTGGAGTCCATTTGTGCTAGGGATGTGTCAACCTCAGGGCCTAAAGGCACCCGATCCTGCTTGATTTTGGAAGCTAAGTAGAGTCAAAAGTGGTTAGTACTTGGATGGGAGACCGCCAAGCTCTGTTTCAGAGGAAGGAACTGGCCAAAGCACCTCTTGAGGACTTCTTGCCTAAGAAAACCCTATGAAATCCATGGGGTCCCCACAAGTCTTGAAGGCACCCCTCAAGGAAAGGAATATAAAGAAGCCTGGGCTTTTTGATTCCTAGCCCGATCTACACAAAGCCTTTTTAAACCGCAGCACTAAAAAAGCAAAGCGGTGCAGACAGATAGGGACACAAGGACAGGTCCTTCCTCCCACCCTTTGGACTGGAGGCTGAATTGATTTCACGTCCCCCATTTTCTGACCGAGAATGGGAGGTTTTGTGTGTTTTATTGTTTGCAAACCTCTTCAGGAGAAAACTTTGCAAGAGCGCAGGACACACACACACACACACACACACACACACACACACACACACA